ATGTGGGACTCGGCCCCAGGATGGACAGAGAAGTGGTGCCTCGATGCGCACCCGGGATCCGAACCCGGGCCGCCAGCATCGCAGCGCGCGCACTTAACCACCAAGCCACAGGGCCGGCCCCGTAATACTTTAACTCCATTTGTCTTCCTGTCTTTTTATGCTCTTGTTGTTGAGTACTTTAATTCTGTGTGTATATTAACCTCCACAAAATAATATTTTATATTATCTCTGTGTATCTGTACGAATTTTCCTCCTCTTATAAAAGTAACTGGTCATTGGATTAGAGCCCACCCTAATCCGATCTGACCTCATTTTAAATTGTTTGCATCTCCAAAGCCCCTATTTGCAAATAAGGTCACATTCACAGGTACTTGGGGTTAGAATTTGAACATATCTTTGTTGGGGGGGACACAGTTCAACTCAATACACACCTTAAAACTTTTTTGTTTTTTAAATTGTAAACAATTTTTTTAGCTGATTTTATTGGGATGATTTGTCTGTTAGAAGCTACTCTATCATAGCCATAATGGAAAACCTTGAAATGAGGATTTTAAAATAAATAATATATTCATATGGTTCAAAATTCAAAATGTATACAGTTTTATACAGTGAATATTCTCCATTTATGTCCTTTGGCTATCTAGTTTTCTTCCTCATTTGTAGTCAAAATTATTAGTATAGTGTTTATCCTCTGCAGAGATGTAGAATGAAAGATTTTAAACTAGTTGATTTCTTATAAGTCTTACATCCAAAATATTCTCTGTTTCCTGATTCCTTTCTGCATAGAATAACCTCAGATTTTATAAAAGAAGTCATTGGAACACAATATTTACTCATACAGGTTTTTTTTTAGCCAGCCATTAATTTTTTGGTAGGCAGCTATTTTTACATGAATAAAAGCAAACGTTGAAACATCATATTCTTTACTCTGGATTTGTCTTATTTCCTATTGCTTATTATTTTGTGCTTCCTATTCAATTGCGAAGGAGTTTTATCCTTTTGAGTTACTTGATTTGACAGTACACAAGTAGTGGAAATGATTCTTTTTATTTACCAAAAACAATCAGGGACACTTTAAAAGGCTTTTTGTTGTTAAAATTCTCAGTTGTGCTTACCTGCATTCGTATTAGACAGCATTCTCTTGCATAATAAATATATCTTCTTACAGTGCTCTTTCAGAGGAGGAGAAATCTACATTGCGTGCAGGGTTAATCACCAACTTCAACGAACCAATAAACCAGGTTAGTGAGAAAATGAATGCTCGCTGTTCTTTCTGTTCCGTTAGTTTTTGATTCCTTTCCAGACTTACTTTGTTTCTCGGCATTAAAAATAAAATCTTATTACATAATGTCCATTTATGATGTTTAAAAACCAACTTCTATGTTGGTTTTTAACTTTTCAGATCCAGTTCTAGCTATTAAGAATTTTGGTTAGGGGGCTGGCCCCTTGGCTTAGCGGTTAAGTGTGCGCGCTCTGCTACTGGCGGCCCGGGTTCGGATCCCGGGCGCGCACCGACGCACCGCTTC